CCTCAGCCGCTGTTTTAAGCGACTCTTAAAGATGTTTAGACTGGTACTTTCCCTTACAGATAGTGGAAGACTATTCCAGAATGTCACTCCCTGGTATGACAGAGCAGTCTGTGAAAAGGTAGTCCGCCTGAATGTCAGTTCACAGTCACCTCTAGCAGTGGCTCGAGTCAGTCGAGACCCGACAACACTGCTAGACTTTTGTTTAATAAAATCACTCATTGGTGGTGGCGCCAGGCCATGTATAACTTTATATATTAAACAGGCCGATTTAAATAATTTAAAATTAGTAAAATTTAAAAACTTGTATTTATCTAAAATTTGACAGTGGTGATATGAGAGAGGTTTTTTATCTAATATTTTCAATGCTCTTTTGTAGCATACTTCAATTGGCCCAATAGCAGCCGAGCTCGTATAGGACCAACTGGTAATACAATATTCAATATGAGCCAGTATCATAGAATGCAGGAATGTAATCGCTGCCGTGTGTGTTAATGACGATCGGATATATCTAAAGTTCCGTATATTAACATTAACAGTTTTCACTACTTTACTAATATGTTTTTTAAAAGTTAATTTAGAGTCTAATCGCACTCCCAAATACTTAAACTCCTCAACATTAATTAATTCATGTGCACCCAAGCAAACTTTTCCTGCAGCTACGGTTGTCTTAGGTTTACTGAAAAACATTGATACGGTCTTGTTAAAATTAAGGCACAGGCATGAGTCATTCAGCCATTTTTGTAAATCACGTAATGCCAGTGAAAGCTGATGGGCTGCATCATCCGGAGTTTCGGCTTGCGTAAAAATTACTGTATCATCAGCATACATAATTGTGTCCACATTTGTACATACATTAGGCAAGTCATTTACATAAAGTGAAAATAACAGGGGACCCAAAATTGAACCCTGGGGAACACCTTGCATGCAGTTAAGATAGGGTGACTTGCTATTCTTTATTTGCACACATTGTTTTCTATCTGATAAATAAGACTGTATCCATTTAACAGTATGATTACTAAAGTTAAATGTCGACAGTCTAGACCAGAGTGTATGATGATTGACAGTGTCAAATGCACGTTTGAAATCGAGAAAAACTGCCGCAACACAACGACTCTTGTCTAAATAAGATTTCACTCTCTCAACAAAAACACAGACAGCCGTTTCAGTTGAATGAAGAGTGCGAAATCCAAATTGCATAGGATGCAAACCCGGATCGGAATCATTAAGATGTTCAATGATAGATTTAGCAACCCACTTTTCTGCTACCTTTGAAAAGATGGGCAGTATACTAATAGGTCGATAATTAATAGGGTCTATTTTATCACCCGATTTATAAATTGGTGTTACTTTCGCCACCTTCCAACTCAAAGGAACGACTGCCTGCGAGATTGATAAATTAATAAGCTGGGTCACAGGCACCAAAAGACTAGATTTATAATGCTTTAAGAAATTTGTGTCAAATCCAAAGTCATCCTTTGCTTTAGAACTTCTTAATTTAGATATTATATTTTCTGCTTCACTTTCCGTAATTTTCTGAATATTGAACTTTGAGTCTGGTAAAGAATCTTCCTCTTCGGTGCCGATATTCCCAATATTTTGTCGATGGTCATCAGAATTAGAAAACAACTGTGCAATTTCATTAATGGTACTTTGGAAGAAATCATTTAATTTAGTAGCTAGGCTAAGTGGTTCTGACACTAGTTCACTGGCAAATTTAAGTTCAAGGTCCTTCTCTGCATTATGCTTACTGTTACCAAGAAGTTTGTTAATATTTTCCCAGATTAGCTTACAGTTTCCTTTGGCATTATTAATTACAGTCATGAAAAAATTTGCTTTTGCCATTCTCAAGGTTTGTGTGACTTTATTCCTTGCAGATATAAAATGTAATCGATCAGTATGTAATCCAGATTGTAACGATTTTTTGAGTAACCGATCTCTAAGTCTCATAAGCTGTTTACACTCAGTATTAATCCAAGGCAATGAATAAACTCGTTTCTTTAAAAGGCACTCTTTCTGAAACTGTGACAAGACCCCTTTAATAGCAGAGTATACTAGATCACAACATTTATTAGTGTCATCATATGTTAGTATGCTATTCCAGTCCAAATTATTTAGAGCAGCTGTTAAATGTGGCTCTTGATTTTTGGGAATGAATGCTTGTTTTATATTCGTCCTTTTACTGAAACATCTCAGTCGTTTTTTAGTTAGCTTTCTAGAGAAGAATATGGCATTGTGGTCCGACAAGCCAGTCAAAAAGTTATATGTTTTTATCATTCTATCCGGTTTATTAGAGAACACCAGGTCTATTAGAGTTCTAGAGCGATTTGTTATTCTAGTGGAATCATTGATCATTTGTTGTAAACCAAAATTATCTGTGATTTCTTTTAATTTCTTTCTGTCGCTTATGTCATCCCAATTTACATTTAAGTCTCCCATTAGGATAAGTTCATTACTGATGTCACAAGAATTTAGAAGTGCCTTGAATTGGTCATAAAAATCCACTTTCGCTGAAGGTGGGCGATAAAGACATAAAACAGTAAATGACATTTCTGCTGAGAGTGACACTTTAACTCCAACACATTCAATAGAGATTTCATTAGGCCAGATTATTTGTGTACATTTTAGAGAGTCCTTCATATACAACAACACCCCACCCCCCTTTCCTTGATGCCTATCTTTTCTAAAGACATGATAACCTTGTATAGTTATCAGTGCTTGTGGAGAAGAGGGTGTGAGCCAAGTTTCCGAAAGTCCCATAAAATCAACATTTGAATTAACGAGAAGATGTTCCAGTTGTTCCCTCTTAGGGGCCATGCTGCGTATGTTCAGATGGCCACCTAGCAGCCCTTTGACCTTATACTGTGGATCCCAAATAGTCCTAGCTTGATTAAGAGTCCGAAATAACTTAAACAATCGATGCTTTTTAAACACAGGGTTCCTCTGTATAACCATAGGTAAGATAGGTTGTGTTGACTTACTAAGTTTAGTTGTAATCGGGCTCCGCAGAGTTGGTATTAGACTAGGAGGCTGCTGTAGACCTGGAAGCAGGGATGGTGTTAGTCCAGGAGACTGCTGTAACCCAGGTACCAGTGGTGGTGTTAGTCCAGAAGGCTGTTGTAGCCCAATTGGCAATGGTGGTATCGGTCCAAGAGGCGGCTGTAGCCCAGGTGGCAGCGATGGTGTTGGTCCAGTAGACTGCTGTAGCCCCGGTAGCAGTGATGGTAGCCCAGGGAGCTGCTGTAGCCCTATTGGTAACGATGATGTTAATCCGGGAGGCTGCTGTGGCCCAGGTGGCTGCGACGATGTTAGTCCTGGAAGCTGCTGTAGCCCAAGCGGCATTAACGATGTAAAACCCGGATGCTGTTGCAGCCCAGTTAACAATGATAGTATTGGAGCCTGAAGCTGCCGTAACCCAGGTTGTAGTAATGGTGTTAGCCATGGTAGCAGTGTTGGTGCTAGCCCAGGGAGCTGCTGTAGCCCAGGTAGCAGGAATGGTGCTAGCTCATGAAGCTGCTGTAGCCCAGGTAGCAGTGATGGTATTAGCCCAGGGAGCTGCTGCAACCCAGTTAGCAGTGACTGCGTCAGCCCAGGACTCTGCTGCAATCCAGGTAGTAGCGATGGTGTTATCCCAGGAAGCTGCTGCAGCCCAGATAGCAGTGGTGGTGTTAGCCCAGGGAGCTGTTGTAACCCAGGTAGCAGTGATGGTGTTAGCCCAGGGAGCTGCTGTAGCTCAGATAGCAGTGATTGGGTTAACCCAGGCAGCTGCTGTAACTGTAGCACAGGACTTGAGACAGGTCCGGGGTTACGCTCAACATCGCCAGCCAGAAGTATTATCAACAGGAGATTCACAACCCCCATGTATGATCTGGATACCGTTTTAGCACATTGACCTGGGGGCGGCCTAGCATGTCCACAATCCAGGATTCCTGAATACAAAAGATGTTGGCTCCTCTTGGCTGGGTAGAGAGTTAAATTAACCATTTTCCGTGGATACATTAAGCTGAAAAAAGGTAACAAGACAAGAAGAGACCAAGAAAACATGGCAAAATATATAAGATATTTCTTTTTTTTCGGCAAACACACAGGACCTGCCTGACTCTGTGGCTTCACCCTGTCGGCCATGTTTGTTTTTTGACAAACAAAAGCATGCATGCTTAACAACTTAACAAATAAAACAAGTCAACACCGAGTCCTGTGGCTGTAAAGCAGACCGAGCCGTCAGCCTCCACAGTAGTGCTGTTTGGGGCGTCTGTATTGGTATCAGAGACACTCAGCTGGTTTAACTCCCCAGTGAAAACTCTTCTGAGTGCTGATTTGTTCAAGCGTTGCCGTGCAAACGTTTGATCCGCAGCCGTTGAAGGAAAAGGCGTTTACCCTGCAGCCGATCCAAACCAGTCATGCTTGTTGGGTCTCTTTCATCGTCCTGTCCTACACTCTTCATGACTGTTTGGCTTCAGGATAATAATAATAATAATAATAATAATGAGCTAAAGGTTCCTACATGTAAATACAAGTCTAAAAGTCCTTTTGGAGATTGTTAAAAGGCAAATTTCTGGTTATGATTCTTGGGAACGTCGTTCAGATCAAAGTTGGAAGGATTTGACTTTTTATCCCTCAACTCTGCAGGGTGTGTGTGTGAGTCTGGATATGGGTGTGTACGCCCGTTGGAGTTGGACTCTGGTGCCGTCATCTCATAGCTTCAGTTCTGATCCAGAGAGGCTCTGAGCCAAACCAGAAGAACTCGGCTCGTCCTCTTCTTTATGCACACTGATGACGGTATATTTAGAGAGTACAGGAAGAGGGTCCTGACGGTGGGGGGTGTTGTCTGGTCAGGACTTCCTTCCTCAGACCAGCAGAGTGGGAGTTGGTTCTGTGGCCCTGTTTCTGCTCCTCCAGGATCAACAACACGCTGAGATGCCTTCAGACAGGGTCATGTGGAGTTCACATGCACTGGATGACTGCACACTCTTGATTTTCTCTCCATGTTTCCTCCTTCATAG